AATGTCAAAATATTGTTAGTCTCAGCTTCTCAAATGTAGATTTCTGGTTTTCGACTGTTGACAGAAAAACAAGACTTTATTCACCTTTTCTTCAATAGACTAAATTTAATCGCTTGAAAATAACCTTTTAGCTGCAGTCCTACACTGTCAGTTGCTGGAGTACTTTGGTCCCTCAGCAAGAGCTGCTGATGAATATAAACTTTTAGGAGACTGTAAAACCGGTGAGGAGAAATATGTTTTCACTTTTATATGTTGTTCCCTGCAGAGCATGCAGCTCCCCCAAAAGAAACCCCCTCGACCCGGGCCCAGAGCCAAGTGGGCAGTCTGGCCTGTCTAAATACTGGAGACAGTTACAACGATGGAGTCAAGTCACACCACACACACACACACACAACACAAATACGTAACACACACAAAACCAAAAAAAAATACAGACACACACTGGTAAAAAGAACACTGCAGAATAACCAACAACCATATGAACTGACAAGGACACATTTAGCAGATATACAGGTTGCATGTTTCTTAATACTTAGAGCGTTAATATTTTCTTCTTTTCCTTTGGCTGCTGCTGCTCCCTCTCTCCCTCCCCTCCTCTTCCTCCTCCTGCACTCTGCCTTACTGTTGACCCCTAGCCCTGGCGGGTAAGCAGCACACTGTCTGTGTGTGTTTACTGTGCGTCTTGTCTGCTAGTTGATCACACCTAGATTCATTTGTTCCGCTCTTCCATCAGTTATTTGATTTCTCAAATCAAATCATCTGTAGTGTTATCATATAAACATATAAACACATTCATTTCATCACGGAGTTCCCTTTGTTGTGTTGATACCAGTCAGGTTTCTTTTTTCCTCTAAACTAACATCCAGATCTACATAGCTGTGTTTGTGCTGACAGTATTTAACCCGCACTGGAAATTCTTCAGAATTTGTTTACTTTAATTACACTAAACTATACTAAACTAACATTATACTAAAAGTCATGCAGCTTTTTAGGCTATGGTGAAAATCTTAGGCCAGAAGCTTTATCTTTATCTTCTGAATATGATCAGAGGATAGATTAAGTGCAATATAAATGTGATAAATAGAAGAGGCGTCCCTCCTCTGTTGCTCTGTAAGGTTTCTTACTTTTTCCTCATTTTAATGATAGAGGGTGTATTATGTCTTTTCCCTTTTTGATGCAGATTTAAGATTTTTGACATGACAATACAAACTCAGTTTGACTTCCTTTGCCGAACACATTCTGCCTACAGTCTTAATATTGTTTTTCAGGCAATAAATATGTACAAGGTTCAGGGCTCCAGTGTTTTGACAGACAGAGATAAAAAAAATGAAGAAAAACATTTTGTAGCACTAAAAAGACAATTTAGTCGCAGAGATTGATTTAGAGAGGGCAAGAGAAAGTGTACAGACAATTAAGGGTCAAGGGGGGTCAGATGCAGAGAGGAGGAGAGAGAGGACGATGAAAGGATAGACAGAAAAGAGTCAGACTAATGTGAGAAATATCCTGTGGGATGTACCAGAAGATCCATTCATGATCTTCTGAATGATTGAATTGATTTATATTGGCTTGCACCAGTGTTTTACTGCCACCTAGAGGCCAGAATAGAGACCTACATGTATCATTTTTTGTTTTGTTTTTGTTTTTTGTTTTGTCATAGATGTCAATAACCTGCTCATATTCGATCAGTCATTCACTAATCTACTCATTAACCTGTATGTTCTTTGTAAGAGATGCTCAGCAGTTGTGACCTCTCTTCTTCTTTTCTGTAATCATTTAGGATTTGTATCGTCTGTGTATCATTCTCACCGCCCCGTTCTCCACATAAACCTGTTGGTCCTTTTTTCATTCAGTGTCACTCATTGCTCTTTGTGCTCTCCTGCTTCAGCTGCAGCCCCAAGAGATAAGCCCGCCCCCCACCGCCAACTTGGACCGCTCCAATGACAAGGTGTATGAAAATGTGACCGGATTGGTCAAAGCTGTGATCGAGATGTCGAGCAAGATTCAGCCGGCTCCTCCAGAGGAATATGTTCCCATGGTCAAGGTAACCGAGGCACTCCAACACATTTATTTCCCTCCTCAATAGCTTTTAATTAATCTGTTTCTATTCTTAGTTTTTCTCTCTTGAGCTGAAAACCTTGACCTTAAAACTTGAAATGATTACAGAGATTAGTGCTGTTCTGTTTATACAGTTTTATGTATTCTGCCATTCATCACTGTGACATCCTGTTTTAATCAAATGACACTGATCAATCCTCTTCAGAGGGCAGAATTTACTCAAAACTTGTGATTCCTCGGTTAAGCAGGCTCTACAGAACTGACCTCTTAGCCTCACTAGATGATGATTGTAATTGTGGGAATTTAGTTAATTTCCTTCACGTTGGTTATATTACCGGTAATCGGTGTAGGAAATATTATTTAAATCTATTCTGATCTAAATCTGATGTTTTTATTAATGAATTGAATTCATTTTGAATCTAGTCTGAGCAGAAAGGTTCTGTATTTGTGTGTTTCAGGATGTGGGTCTGGCATTGAGGACGTTATTGGCCACAGTGGATGAGACTCTACCACAACTTCCAGCCAGTACACACAGAGAGGTAAAAACAGACACACACACACACCGATCAGCCCTAACATTGTGAGCACTGACAGGTGAAGTGAATAACACTCATTATCTGGTTATCATGGTACCTGTCAGTGGGTGGGATATATCAGGCAGCAGGTGAAAATTTTATCTTCAAGTTGATGTGTTAGAAGCAGGAAAAATGGGCAGCGTGAGGATTTGAGCGACTTTGATAAGGGCCAAATTATGATGGCTAGACGACTGGGTCAGAGCATCTCTAAAACTGCAGCAGGTGGTCATAATCTTATGGATGATCGGTGTATACACACACATACACACAAGCGTGGAATCACTTATCATCTCTTATGATTACATGTTGCTAAAGGGTTTTAAATCACACATTTGCACTAGTATTGATTGGTATCAGATGGATATTTATTGCTCTGTTGTTGTTTTTTTCAACAGATCGAGATGGCTCAGAAACTTCTGAACTCTGACTTGGCAGAGCTGATTGGGAAGATGAAGTTAGCCCAACAATATGTGATGACCAGGTAGGTTGAAACATTACAATGTATGAAGAATATGTTGGAAGACATAATGAGATTTATATGTAATAGATGGTCTACCTGATTCATATTTTATTACAGTTTCTTGTATTTATACAGTGGATGCAATCAACCACAGGGCTCATTATTATTTCATTTAGGGACACTAATAAATTTAGTTAAATACTTAGAAATAATGTTTAGTCAATGTCTAGAAAAATGTCAAAACAGTAACACAGGGTAACATTTTTACCAAATGACATGAGCTGTCCTAATCAGATTTTTGATGCTTTCACAAAAGGCTGGCAAAGTCAGCATTTTAAAGTTGTACAAATAGTGGTGTTCACATTGTAGTATTCACTCATTCTTCTACCCGCTTTGACCAGTCTGTGTAACTAATGTATGTGTGTATATGTTTGTCCTAGTCTCCAGCAGGACTATAAGAAGCAGATGTTGACAGCGGCTCACGCTCTTGCAGTCGATGCCAAGAACCTGCTGGATGTCATCGACCAATCACGGCTCAAGATGATGGCCCACTCCCGCCCACACTAACCCCACGTCAGCTGAGCTGACCAACAGGAGCTGGTCTGCTATTTGAGAGACAGTGTCACTATGGTTACTGTTAGTAGTGGAGAACTAAAGACTCCTGGATTAATGACGTCAATCATGATATGTGAGAGTTGTTGGAGCTGACCGCTTTACATCAAAGGAAACAATGATACTTAGACAACAGTCCGTGAAGAATCGTTAGATGTTGAATCCTGTGTAAACTGCGGTAGTCCATTCGTCTGGGATAAAACTCTCCACCACTGTGACTTTCTTAATACAAGAACAGAGCAAAAACACTTCCTGAATCAGGGACTTGGCAGCTTCACCCTCTTTGAACTGGAATATAATGTTGAGGGGAGGAAAAGTGAAGAGGACGATGATTGTGGGTGACTATGGGTCCGGACCTGAATCACTATCATGGGAGCGATCGGGTGTGGAACTGTCAACATCGAGTTGATTAGTCCTGGTAGAATACAACTCTCGCGCAAAGCCATCAGAACTGGTTTGCGTTTGATCTGCATGAAACTTCACAGTCGGAACGGACTCAGACGTCAGCCAGCAGCCATGTTAGTACATTTGTTGATATCACGTGTTTTTGACCCCTGGATGTGAACCTGCTCCTCCGTTGAAATACCTCCACACCACCATGGATTCTAGTGAATGGGCAGATCAAACCAGATGTTTTCTATTCAGCTGCGGTGCTTTGAGAGGACGCTTCAACGGGGAAATTCAACAGCAAAGACGGTCTCGGTTTGGTTCGGAGAAGCAGCCTCCCACCCCTCCCTTGCTCCTCTCATTTCTCTCTTCTATCAATTCCCATCTTCCCTCCGTCTCACCAGGTTTTATTTATAGACTCAGAAATTGCAGAGGAGGAGACGGAGGGAGAGAAGGGAAGAGCGTATGAAAACTTGAGGACAGTCTAGCGCCGGTCTACTGCCTGAAGATAGAACACACTATTGTCCTCTCACCTCTCTATTTCACTCACTTTTCTTTCCTTTAGTTCTCACTGTCCCTTTCTCCTTCCTCAAGTCTTCCTCAGCTCCCCTCTGAGCAGGTTTTAAAGACTCCAAATGTGAAGAATCCAACTCTGTCTGGGTAAAACGCCGCAGACAGGAAACTCCCTACTCGCACTCAGTTTAGTATACTCTCTTCATCTGCTGGCTCCATGTTTTTTGTGTTGTTTACTGCAGTCACACTCTTCTTCCTTAATACTGATATTCAATCCCAGCATTGACTCTGATGAGCATAAATGTAAAAAAAAAGGTAGATTTTGGGGATTCTCCCTCTTTATCCAGGAGGAAGAGGAGGAAATCATGTCTCAGACTGATCACTGAGCTTGACTTAACCTATTTCTGTGTCTCCTCTAATTTCTTTCTCCTCACCCACAGCCCCAATAACGTTCAGTTGTTGCTCATATAAGACTGGTGTCACACCTTTTTAGTGTCCCCTCACCCACCAGTGTCACAAAGTGAATTTACCCGGGGACACAAACAAACCTCACAACGGGAACCTTTGTGCTTTGAGTCCCAGTCCCAGTCAGGTGTAACTCTTTAAATATGTCCCTCCTAACAACCGGGAAACAAACACACATGTAATGTGGAGCCACACGACTGGAACTTGTCTTGTTGACACAAAACACTGAACTGAAAATACAGCAGATCACACGTGTCTTTGTTAATATTGACCCCACATGGAGTATGACGTACTGCTATATGAAATATACTGGTGACTGTACTGGTATAGCATGATATACTGGTATGGAGAGGAGCATATTTGCACAGCACCAAAAAAAAAAGTCATATCTTTTTTTAGCCCTATGTTACCCAGATTGGATTTCCATGTTTACTCAGCAATGACACTATCAAATATCTGGGCTTTATAGGGATAAAAAAATGTAAAAAAAACAAACAAAAAAACAATCTATTTTATCTCCTTGTTGTTGCGTAAATCTGCTCATGTTGGTATATTGTAAGCTATACTGGTGTGTATCACTGGTGAATTGTACAGAACTCGTACTAGTAAACACTGGTTTTTATTTTGTCTTCTGGGCTAAATCCGCCATTGTGTCAAATAGGAGGGAAAAAAAACAATGAAATAAAACTGACGAAATGGAAATCAGACTGTCCACATTCTTATCCATGACAGAGATTTATTTGAAAGCACACATTTCAGGTTTCATATCTCCAGTATCTTTAAGTTGTCCTGGTTCCAAAGTCTTAATATTGTGTCTGGAATATAAATGATTTGAAGTCTTAAAGCCATAAATGAGACCTAAGTGATTTTGGTCTTTCCCATGATTGTGTCAGCAGGTGAAGGATCCAATGAATAGAGCCAACTCATACTGCTCTATGTATTATGACCCTCTAAAGTGGTTGTAGGCTTTATTTTGGATCCATTCATTAGACTAAACAAGCACGGTACGGCATGAATTTGATAGTATTCACATGCCTAAGATTATATAGGAAATATAAGTGTTAGAACGCTGAGAAATTCAGTGTCAAAACCATAATATCACATACAATTAGCATTTACATACAACATTCACATTTAAAACATAATCTCCAACTAAATACGTTTACCAGTCTTTACATGAAGCATTATATTCATCATCCCTACATTGTTCTAAACACAGCAGCAATGTCATTTAGCTTCTGACGGCACTGGTTGATCGCACTGACCTCAGTGTGACAGCAGTAATAACACACCTACAGTCAAAAGCAGCAGTGTTGTATGTACGTGAACGGACTCGGCTCCACTGAAGTTACACAAGTTAAAGCTGTTGCAGCAGTTGACCGTGTTTCCGTTTCCGCTTGAGTCGACTGAGGCGGTCGAGGCAGCTCCGCTACATGTGGTTTTGCTGGCACACTGCTTCACTATGGCTTTTGAAGAGCCTGGATAACACACACACACACACACGCACATACACAGCAGGATGTTTGAGTGAACTGGATTTGGACAAGCCTTCATTAAAATTGCCTCTATCATCAAGGAACATGTTCAGATTCAATAAGACATTTCATAGTGGATCCTGAAAATCTGCAGTTCTTTACATTCTCGGCCGGAGATCTGATATTATGTTTTCCTTGTTACCGAAAGTGTCGACGATGGTCATGCAGGTGTCCAGTAGTGCCTGACACTCTTGGGTGTTGTTGTTGCATTCTTCATTGGTGGCAGAAGAGGCGCAAACGTAGCACTCCAGAGACTGCACTGCAGGCACGAGGAACAAGGTAAAAACAGACACATGTTTGATGAAGTTATAGAAAATAAGAAATCCAGTTTGTTGATAAAAGTTAAGTGAAAAAAAAAACACAGGGTCTTGTTAAGAGGTCTCAGTCAAGAGAAACAATATTGAGACTGACTTTTTACAATTACATCAGTATTTTGATGTTTTTGACATTTTAATAATGAGCCATGGTTGTGTTACTGACGGCTAGGGGGAAAACCTAATCTGTTTAAATAAAGTTATTTATTGACTCAGCCACTTGATTTAGGTCATGACAGTGTTGTAATCACAATTGAATTTATATTTTTCAAATTTATGTGGAGAATGTTTGGGTCTTAATGAAGTTAGGAGAGTTAAAAGTTAAGTATTGAGCACATTTTTTTGAGAATTGGTATTGAAAGTCATAACAAATCAGTATAATTGACTTGACTGGAATGAGTTCTGGTAGTTTTTGCTGTCTTTATGACAGGAACTCAGATATTTCTGAGAATGACGTAGAAAAGATGCACACAAGGTTGTTCCTTATCTAACAGTGCAAGCATTAGGAATCAAGATCAGGCATCTGATTGTCTGCTCCTGCACTGAAACCAAAGCCTAGAATTAAAATGTATGCTTGAACCTCAGCAGACTGGGACTCATTAGATATTTATAGTCTGACTATAGTTATTATAAATGATAGAGTAGAGAAACCTTTATGATAAACTACAACGTCACATCAGAAATCCCTTAAAATAGGAAGACAGCTACTCCCAAAGACCGAATTGTCAGGCTTGCTTCTTTAATTACAAGGTATAGCAATTATTGAAAAGGAGGCTGCATACTATTCCTCCCAGTCAGAGATTATTGTTCTGCTCTCTTATGTCATTGAACTGATGCATTACAGTAAACACGTGCACATCTAACATTTATTTATTTTTTATTTATTTATTAATAATACTGGGATTAATTAGGCAAGAGTAACCCAAGTAGAACAAAATAACAAACACTGAAGGCCCAAAGGAAGAACCTCAAAGGTAGAAATTAGACGAACAAGGATATCATTAAAACTTCTTATTTCTGCTGTGCCTAAAGTTACAAATCCTCTATTAAACTTGTTAGTTACACCTTTACAGTATGACTGTGTTCACTCTGGAGCCACTGAAACAAATGGTAAGGACATTGTAGGTCTTAAAAACATACCTAAGCCACTGACATTATTACCCCCAATAAAGAAAGAGCAGAATTCTATCACAGTGCAATATATGCGCTGCCACCCTGATAACAAAAACCACTCTGTTTTTTGTTCATTCTTTGATTATTTTGGATAAATCTCTCATATTGTGTTCATTCACTATTATGTATCAACTGTTAAAAACAGACCTTTTTAGGAAGGATGCACTCATTTTAGATGATTTAGGTCTCTTTCCAATGTCTTTAGCAACTAATGACCTCCCTGGATCCCCTATTAGATTTATTCAATCATGTCACTGCCTCTCAGGTCCCTGATGTCCTGACCCTTACCCTGCCCGCATATAGAACTTACTAGTGAGTTTGCCCCTCAGAAAAAGCCCCTGGCCTACTGTTTGAGGGGTCTGAGGTTAACTTTACATACCTGGATAGACAAGGAGGGAGAGGAGGACGAGGCCGAGCATCATCTTCATAACAGGAGTCAGTGTCTGTTCACCTCCTGAACCTGCGCTGTCTGCTGCCAAACCTGGTGTGTCCTGCTCTGTGTGTGTGTGTATGTGTGTGTGTGGTTTCTATTGTTTGTTTTACAGGAGCACTTGATCACAGCAGTTCCACCCACATCATCCACCATCATCTTATGACACTAAAGGCATCTCATAATTTTTTTTGTTTTGCAGTGTGCAGGACATTCCTAGATCTTGCTAGGTTTCACTGATACTCGTCTTTTATTTATCTACTGTCAATCACAGACACAGGGTGGCTTTTAGAGTTAGAACAGCCGCTAACAAGAACACAGTCTGTGTCTCTGCAGGCTGTGTTATGTCATGACTCTATGAGTCTAGTATGTTCAGTTTAACCTGTGCTGCAGGACACAGTGTTGTTGGCTTTCTTTTCTTTAGTCGAGAGGAAACTCCCATTTGTGACCAATTATCATAATTAACAGGATTAAACAGGTTTACAGTCAAGTCAAGTCAAATTTTATTTATATAGCCCGAAAACACAATTCATAATTTGCCTCAGGGGGCAAGTGTAGACATTAAAGCAATATATGCAGGTCCCTTCTGCTTTACGGGGCTTTATAGCAAGTTTTAGCTCATTGTTTAACCGTTCAGCCTCAACTTTAGTGTTTTGGTTCGCTCTCTCCTCTCTCATAGAGCGCCAAAGTCATGGCCTAACATCCGGGTTAATCTCTGTTCCACTAGCTTCTGTAACTCGATGCAATCTCTCATTCAGCTCTTTTGTGGGCTCTGGAGCGTATTCCTGGGGTTTGCTTTCCACTTTCACTTTCCTGTTAGAGAAATCGGCACTTGCTAAAAGAAAGTGAAACCTTCATGATTCTAACAAAGTTGAACAAATATTATTTTTGTGAGCACAGAAGAACCTACAACTCCCATGAAATAAACACAAGCCTGGTACTTCCATTAATGTAACTTGGTTTCGTTCATATCCTTAAAACTCCTTATCCCTCCTCTAAAGTTATTTTTTAAGCTGTCTAAACACTTGTTTAATTAAGCAACATTATATATTATATTATATATTATATTGTTTTTCAAAAACACAGTCCTTTTTTCAAACACATGAAGCAATCTACGCTGACAGCGGCTCTGTTCAAACCCTTTATTTTTAGTTGTTAGCAACATCTAGCAGCTAAACAGCGAGACATTCCCCTCAGTAGTTGAAACCAAAAAGAGCTAATGCCGCTCTGTAACTACAGGCGGTATTAATTAGCAACTGTTTGCTAACCAGTTCACTTATCAAATTAAAGGGTGTTAATATGTCAATGTTGTGTTCATAGCTTGTTTCTGCTGCCCCTAAGTGGCCCAAAAAATTATTGCAGGTTTAAAAAGTTGACATTATTTGCCAAAATGATTTGCAGCCACATCCCTCAAACTAAATTGCAGACTAATTTTGCTCTTCCACTGGCGCCTGAAAACACTAAAGCACTGCATAAATGAGGTCTCGCTAGACGAGACAAAAACTTACCTGACCTGACCAACAACATCGCACTCTCCCTGACTAACAGTGAACACCACTGTCATCCCACTTACTGTAAATAAAAACAACAGCGTTTCTGATTTTTTTTCTCACTAAATGAATATGTTTATTTTTTAAATATCTTTAATTGTAAGACAGAAGAATTTACATCACCCTATATCTGCCACATCACATCTGTCCAGTGCTAACACAGGAATGCACAAGTACACACCCAACACTCACACACCCAGTACACACCCACTGCAACACACATGCAAAAGTATTTGTTTTTGTTTTTTTGGATTCTCTTTCAATTAACATTTATTTCCTGATGCCAAACCTGAACCCTAATGGGTCACAGTGAGGATATTTATTCACTCCTTGAGTATTAAGACAATAAAAACAAACACACACAATGCTTGTGAGGAAAATATGAAACTTCCTTAACACAAACCAGTCAAGCAGTTGCCATAAGTACCAGTCTGCTCTCTGTGTTGTCTCCTGATTGCACGTGTTGATAGGCATACCGGCACACACACACGCACATCAATCCACACGCACAGTAGCTGATTCAAATGATTTGCATAAACCTTTATTCCATATTATTAAAAAACAAGCACAATGCAATAAAATAATAAAAAACCAAGTAGAATTTTGTAAATTATTCTCCAGCTCAAGCAGTTCAGTCAGCAGAAAAGCGGAAATTAGTGCAGAGATCAGTGTAAAACAATCATAATAAACAGCTTGATAAAATTGGTAGTTAATTTACAGTAGATAAATGTTTCTTCATATTTTGTGATGCATTTGTGTACTGAATAAAAGGAAACAGACTGAGCAGCTGTTCTAAGTCCTAATGCATTGCAGGGATTTCATAGACACATGCTGTAGGGATATTAGCGATAAGTGGTCAACTTGCTGGCAGTAGTGCAATCTCTTTTTATATGTTAACATTTCAAAGTAAGTCTTTTTAAAATAATACAGTGGAGACTGTATGTAATATGTTATGGAACATTAAGGAAGACAAAACAGACTTTATGTAATGACATTTTAGACATACAAGACTAACATCAAATCTACACATCAGGTAGATCAAACTCTAAATGAAGAGTAAAAGTGCTATATGTTGCTGGTCTGATCTTCTCATTGCTGTCTGGGGCCATGTTGCTTATCTGCAATCCTGCTGGACCCCCCTGTTTGTCTATCATTACACACTTGTGTTGCAAAGCTATGCAATGTTAAAACCACAGAAATGTATTTTAAACTGTAGCCATGGATCATAACGTTTCCAAAGAAACAAAATATGTTGCGTTTAGTAATTGTGCAACCACAAAAATTGTGTTGTCTTGGTGTGAATATTTTAGTTTATATAAACATAAATCTTCATATAGCTTCAGTGAAATACTTTTTTTTCCTAAATTATTTTATCAGGCATTTTATGCCTGTATTTAGGGGTGCACCAGCTTCAGTGAAATACTAAAGTACATTTTAAAGGAGAATCATGGCTCAAGCTTATGACCTCGGTCTGAATACATAACCCCCTTATGTGTGCATAAAAAGCGGAATCAAGCAAATACATATTACAATGGTGGTACAATGCTGTTGATATTCTTCTTGAAAGGCAGGCCAGCATAATATGTGAAGCAGAGAGTGTCTGTATGGGAATGAGTTCAGTCATGGTAGCAGTAAAGGGGAATCTTCACTGATGCCGAGCAACAAACAGCAGCCCCGTCAGTGTACAGCAGTGAAGAGTCAGAAGCAGAACAGCTCATCTTGGATCAGTCTAAAGCTGCTATGGCACACCTGGCCAAGTGTCCTGTCTGAGTGTCTGTTTCACAACTTCAGCGTCGTTTCAAAGATGGGTTTTTGTGTGTTTGTGTATTCATTTCAGAAAAAAATAAGGAGAAGAATTCTTCTCATTGAGTCTTTAGTTTCTTGCTGTGGGTCCCAGACTCTCGCCTCCTGGCCTTGGGAGTGTAGCACCTGGTAGAGATAAAAGATGAAAGCATTATATTATCATATTATTATTATTAGTTCCCAAACATCTTGATATCCTGTATATTCGAACATGAGAAAGTAAAAGAAATCTTCACACAAGTGAGGTCTGCTACCAAGATTCAGTGTGTCTAAATTCCAGCATGTGTTTTGTAGTGTTTGAGTATCTTGTCAGAGAGATACATAAAGTCAAACAGTGTTTGCATGTTCTGTGTCAATGTTTTGTAGTGTGTGTGTGTGTGTGTGTGTGTGTGTGTGAGATTGTGTGATTGTGTGCGGAGTTGAGTGTCCTACCTTCGTTGGTAGAGGTAGAGGAAGAAGAGGAGCTCGTCTCTGAAGCAGGAAAGTTGATGTGAGGAGGAGAAGGATCCAGAAGAGGAGAAAAGGGAGGCACAGGAGCACAGATCTGAGATCAGCGTGTTCACTCCCTGGTGGGGTGAGGAAGGAAAGAATAATGAACTCATCAACTAGAAACTCAAATCTTGTTTGGAGTTTAATTAAAAACAATATTCATTCTATATTCAGGTGATTATACACTAATGAAAACATACCTAATATTAGTAATAGTATATTCCATTTCTATATTCCAACCATTGAAAATGTTCGAGAACCAAAAAATAAAGCTAATCTGCTTTTGGCTGCATAAAGTTACTATTTGTGAATGAGCCAGAGAAACATATTCACACTCACTCTGTACATCAACACTGTCCCCTGCAGGTGGCTCACAGACTTCAGCTGATCCAGAGAGAAACACAAAGATGGAGAGTCAGGAACAGTTCATACAGTCATTTACAATATTTGGATTATTTGCATTAGTTGCAGGACAGACCTTGTGGTTGATGAAGAGCTGCGGGGCCATAGACAGGAAGCCAAAGGCATACACTCCTGAGAGGAAGAGAGTTAAGGTGTCATTGACTTAATGTAATAAGAAAAACTGAATAGAATTCAATCAATTACATTGAAAAACCTAATAAATGAACTGATGGATCACATAGATGAATTTGTTTCACTGGTACAAATGGATGTAAATCGACTCACCGGTCACCAGGCTGTTGATCAACCAGGAATAGTAACTGTCAAAAACATTTAATGTGTATATTTAATATATGTGTAGAAGCTGCTTGGTCCGTGCATAATAACAATTATATTAGAAACCATTTTAAAACCAAAAACATCTTACTTTTATTCAAGAAACATTCAGGTCTGATTTGAATCTGACTGCTTAAAACACTTCAGTACAGCAGGTGGAGAGGAACCGAGATGTTATTTTTAGGTGATTAAACACTAATGAAAACCTATGAATGTTATATGCCATTTATGCCTTTAGATCCAACTAAACGTTACACACTGGATCTTTAAACTGTGTGGCAGAGCCGAAATTTGAATACAGTGATCAGCTCACCTCTTTTGGCGCAAATAGGCCAGTGAAAAAATAGCTCCGCTGATACACAGAGGATAGACCAAGTAGGACAAGTATCTGGACGCCTGGAGAGAAAACCACAGACAGAATATGAAGGCAGAATATAAAATCAGAGCTCTAAAAGACAAGAAAAAGATGGAACCATACTAATACCTGTGTATCGTACTCCACTGTCTTTCTTTCTTCTTCATCCAGCTTTTTTACCTACATAATAAGGAGGCAGTCTTATCAAACTATATCACTCTACACATGTTAAAAGTACAGAGTGGATGGCAGCACACTCACGTAGAGTCTGGAGCTTTTCCACTGCAGCTGGATGTTAAACACTTTGAACACTTTCCACACCTGCCGGGATGAGAGGTTAGTTTCGGTTTGTCTGTTTTGATCTTTGACACTTTCTGTTGGAGGAGACCGATTATACTAAATACCTCTACACACGCTCCCAGTCCAACAGGAAGCAGCACCAGTAGGCTGGTCTCCTCTAGCAGATGGAGGAAAATCAGCAAAGTACTGAGACTACGCCACAGAACTACAGAGAGGGCGGAGACAAGAGGAACAGTTAGAAAACTATAATTTAATGTTGTTTATAATTTCAGGTAAGCCCTGTGTAACAAAGCCTTTACTATTGCAAACTAGTTTAAAAAGTAAAGCTTGTATAATTTGATGATTTTCTCACCAGACTTCCTGGACATTCCCGCCATGCTCTTCTTTTTTCTCCACGAGCTGAAGTCATTTTTAAGAGCCAAGAATTCACAGATGAGCTGTAGAAAACATGAAGAGAATTACATACATACGATTAATATTTTAATATGCCACATTCCCTCATGACACTATGGTACGTGTAGAGAGACTGGGATTTATCAGATAATTCACAATTCATGAGATGGATTTTATGACATTGTATGATCTTACTTGTAGAGCCGTCATGAGTGCAGTCAGCACTAACAGGTAGAGGTTGGAGCCCACCAACGTCTCTTTAATCTCATCTATGTTCTCCTCTGTGAAGCCTATATATCACAACACAATGCAAGATCAGAGGAATTAGTTTAGTTCTCCTGACTGTGGGATAAGAAAAGCCAAAGAAAACACATTATGTATTGTGGTGGTTATTATAAAATGCGGGATTTGCACGTTTTATGATGAAAACTTGATAATATGGTGCATTATGTAATAACCAACCAAACTGCATTTGTTAAACTCAAACTTAAATAATAAATTAGACTCCTATGACCTGTGGTTAGGGTTAATTCATTCAAAGGTTATCTAATTCAAAATGCAGTTCATAAAAATAAGTGCTTATTACTAAATGAGCTGATTGTTATAAAATGCAGGTGTTATCACATAATGAAATAAAAATCTAGTTATAACATAATGCTGTGTTACTAAATAATGTGTTGCTACACAACTCCTCAGACATAATTAGGTTTTATAACAATAGAAACATAGTTATAATTTGTCCTCAGAACTACTGAATACACCAAAACTGGAGACTAGAGACCACATCCTGCCTGTTATTAGCTCACCAAACTGTCGAAGGGAATAAACAACGTCCTGTAGATGCACCCAGAACCTGAATCCCCTTAAAGAGATTCCCTCGTAGGACACCGTCAGAGGGAGCTGGGCAGTGCTGCTGCTGATCTCCTACGGATGTATAGATACATACATGCAAGGTCATTTCATACAAACCCCAGTATTTATCAGTCAAGTGTGTAAAATCGACCTACCACGAGGTCTCTGACTCTGAAACTGAGCTCATTAACCAGCAGCAGAGGGAGGTAGATCATCTGTCGGCCATCCTGAGAGCTACCAAGAGAGACAGGAAGAAAGGTTCATTTAAATATTTTACTTTACAGCCCAGTGGAGTTGCAAGGAGAACAGGAAGAACAACTATTATGTTGAGATCTAGATTTGCATTTTACAGCACATTTTCTTAACTATTTATTGTCTTAGAAGTGTGTAGTTTTGTAAAACAATATGTAATTACCACACAAAGGGAACACAAAGTACATAAACACAAAACTGACTTTGTTTTGCCTCTAAAGTTTACACATATAGTCTGATATATACAGGATATATGCTACTGGGTATACAGATAAAACATATGTGTTAAAAAGATCCCTGGCTGAAAGCTTTCCTCTGCTTCCTGTTGCACAGATTGGAGGCTATATAATCCTTTTTACTACTTAATAAATCCCAGTTACATGTTTTATTCCCCATTTATAAAAAAATGTATTCCAAACGAGCAGAACAGAATGTGAGCGCATGTTGGATTTTCTCACAAACAGCCACTGTAGCACCGGAGCGTGCTGATGGGTAGCAGCAATAAAGCCGTAGTCAGCAGCTCTCTGAGTGATCACCCGGCTTTGACCTCCAAAGCTTCCTGTGACTTACACTCTCATGTAGCGCCGCACATCACTAGGAAGCCCCGCCTTGTTGAAGGTGAAGTCCTCTGACATCATAGTGATTGACAGGTGTGGTCTCCAGTGGGATACAGGATTCTCTGATCTGGGACTGGGCCTCTGATGGAGCCACAAAAATAACTCATTTGCAGCAGGGGCCATATTTCTGCACTACTGTAAAGGTGACACGGTGGCAGAAATATGATAGGACTATGGCAGATATTGAATTTTACCTTCTGCTTGTCTCTCTGCCCCTCAGCGTGGGTGGGAATGATGTAAGTGGTGAGCTGAGCTGCGTAGTGGACTTCTCTGCTGTCCTCCAGAGGTGACACACCAGCTTTGTGAACATATACGACCGCATACAATGTGCCATTAGCTCGAGTCTCCTGTGGCAGAGAGACATTCACCTGCCTATAGAGACAAAGAGAGCGAGAGAGAGAGTCAGTTAAAACAACAAGCCTCATTTACAAATCTGCTTCTTTGCTCTTAATAAATGATGCTCACCATGATGCTGTTTGTATTCTAGCATTAGCAAATGTACAGTGTGAGAGATGCACACACCTCTAATGGTGATGAAGAGGAAGTCTTCTCTGATTAAAATCTGCATGATGTACCAACATGTCACACCCACCTTTCAAATGTAGAGTGAGGGTCAAATGGGTCTATCTTCACAGCGAGGTGGAGTTGGCTGTTGTCTGGCACGAGGCAGGTGAAGACACTCAGCTGGTTGAAGCAAGAAAGAAGAAGAAAATAGATTTAAAGCAGTATTTCCATTTTTTTTCAAAAGCTTTGACTCCAGTTCTAAAATGAGATGCAACAGCAGAAAGGGAATTGGAGAACAAAACAGAAAAACCTGCGCATGTTCCAAAAATATGTAGCCTACATTGTCTCTATTTTAATGATTGAACTGACCTCAAACTACACTTGCTACCTGACATTTATCATTTCTACAGCTGTGGTTGGTTAGGTTTGGGCATAAAAAACATCTTGGTTATGGTCTGTTCATATATCACATATACTCTATAGATAATGTCTCCAGTGTGGGATCAATATAGTTTATTTTATCTTAATCTGTGAAACATCCACAGACAAAGCTAAACTGTTGAAATGTTACAAATACTCAAATAAATTAACATAAAACAAAATGTAATCTAAAAAATAAATAACAGAGAAAAGCTAAATGCATTATTTTACCAGACTAACTGCCTTGCAGACAGCATGTGGTTTGCCAAAGGTTTAATACTGAGCACTACTGGCTAATAACAGAGGAAATGGCAGAGTCTGTTTAGTTATTGTCAACTACATATAGTAACAGGCCTGTTTACTTGAGCTGGATCCCACAGAAACTGAGTTTCGGTGTCCCCAGTTTGTCTCTCTGTTAGAGGAGTAAGAAATAAGACACAAAGGCCTGCGCTAACCTGTAGTCTGGGTCTCGCTGTCAGGTAGGAGGCGATGCAGTGCTCTCCTCTGCCTCCATCGCAGGGTTTGGTGTTGAGGAAGCCGCACAGCAGCCAGACGGTGTGGAGCATATAAACCACAAAGACCCCGAGCAGCAGCTTAGCGATGGAGCTCCGTTTAGCGCCGCTGTCCGCGGTCTTAGAACAACACGATGGGAACATGGCAGCAACCAATAGCGAAACAAAAAAATAACGCAAAAAAAAAAAAATGGACGGGGTCTGGTTTTGAGGACGGAGTTGTTTATAATGGGATACAGCTAACACAATGCAATCCCCACGCTTCCTCTCTGTCACAGCATCCTTCCGGTGAGCCGCATCCAGCGGAGAGATGCTGATGCTGCTGACACCGGCTTCACCAATCCTCTGTCCACATCTCCACATCTCGCGAAACCGTGAGCACTGAGCCCACACACACACATACACATACACAGCTGAGCACACCGTGTTTGTCCCGTTTGCAACAGAAGTCCCAAATATTGTAAAGCACACAGGTAATATACATAGTTTGGCTTGTAGACGGGCAGAGCCACCCGCAAAGGGGAAACATAGGTTATTATTTGATATACTGACTTCAGTATTTTCACCTTTAGTAGGCCTATATATAAATTAGACAAATTATAGACCAACAAACTAGACAAATGATCAGTATTTCTCCATCAGAGTTTGTATCCCTGTCAACGGAGAGGGCTTAAACACCATTTAGATCTTTATGTTGAAATTCTTCCACAATTCCCTAATAATTTCCTTGAAATAGCTATGTAAGTTGCATTATTATAGGGAAACATAACAAAATGCTTTTTGGCGTCAATATATGAAAGGCCATTTTCTCAAGGAAAATGTAAAAGTTAATAGACCAAACAATACACAAATAATATATATATATATATTACGTAATATATATATTATTAATATATATATAATATATATATATATATCCATATAATTAGTATATATATATTATATATATATGTACTGTCAATGGTCCAACCTCTACTCAAAATGTAATTTAAGGTTACATCAGCTTTTACAGCCCGAGTGATTTACTTTACTAGAGACGATCTTTGGACGCCGGTCTTGTCACCGCGGTGCATTGTGGTCCGGCACAGCGCTCTTGCTCCTGTCCTCCTGTATGCTAGCTCCCTGTCATGATGCTAACCTGAGTAACAACAACAACAACAACAAGGTGTTTACAGACTCCAACAGAGCCGGTGCGGTGATTGGGGAGAGTGTGTAGCCAGCTGCAGGTAACTGAACCTGCAGGTACTCGTGTCTGTGTTCACTGTCAGTCCGCTTTAATGGAGAAACACTGAGGCTGTGTCCTGATAGCAGCTAATGTAGCGAGCACAACACGCAGAGCTCTTGTGAATAAAGTTAGCCCAGCTACAGGGGGACACGTTAACCAACACTTACTCATACTGTAACTATTAAGTACGCGTTGTCATCCCCGTTGTAGCAGCGGATATGGACTGTGTCCTCTAGCACACAGAGGGACCACTATGGAGAGGACTCAAGGACTATAAACACTGTTTTTTTTTTTGTCTTATGGAGGCTCAGTCGTTCGCTCCAGCATTATTCCCTGCTGCTGTGTGCTTTGTGGTGTCCTTGCTGCAGCAGTGGTGAATCTCAACCCTCCAACCCCAGTATGGCAGCGTGTGTGAAGGCTGTGTGTGCTGCTGCTGCCGGTGCTGGTGGTGTGGAGATGAGAGTACACAGGGTGCTGCTGACTGGCTGTATGAACTGCACTAGGATGTATCTGTCATTTGGTGGGAACTTTTATCCAAAGCGCCTTTACAGCTCTGTTAGTCCTCTTCCCCCGAGAACGGGTGGGACTCGAACCCTCATGCTCTGCCCTCTGAAGCACACTGTGCCACTCGGGAATAGAGAAGCGGGATTGTACAGCAGGAGCTACGGCGACCTCGGTTCAAATGCCCTCTGCAGTCTGACACTGCCGGTGTCCAGGTGTCAACCCAGAAGAGCTCCGTCTGCTGCGGGGAGGAAGGAGGAGCTGCTGCAAGGAGGTGCAGCATGGCCCGGTGAGAATGAGAGACAGGTTGGATCTGTGTGTGCTGCTTTTACATGGTTTACTTTTGTCAGTTTTATTTGTTGATAACTGATTTAAATTGATTGCAGTACTCGTATTAGTACAGTGTTCATGTTTCAGCACATTATAGCCAATAGGTCGGAGGTGATCTAGAAACACTTTATTCTTTCCATAGTTTGTCCAACAGACTTGTCTATTCGTTGACTGTACATTGTTTTTATGAATGTATGTAAAAAAAATTACAATATCAGGGATATATTGATATGATATTTGATTTCTTAGATATTGGTCTCAAAAATCTAGTATCACCCATGTTGTAGTCTACATATTTTAACTGTAGAAGATAATTAGATAAAGAACAGTTATATGTATGTTATATATATATAATATAGCTCAGATCTAATGTTAACATAAGTCCTGTTAAACTGGTAATTAAGAAATCTTCATGCTTGTTTCCTGTAACGATGCATTGCGTAGTTTTTTATTATATATATGTTACTTTATTGATTCCTGATCTTTTTTTGTGTGTGGAAAAAAGTCAACAGTTGTATTATCTGATTTTCTGAGTGGGAAAGCTCCACTGTTTAATTTGTAAGTGGTTCTCCACTGGAAGCGGTTCTGTATTCATATCTCTGGCTGTAGCTTGAGAACTTGCCGTACCAACAGTCTGTCCATCCTCCTCTACAATGGATGGAACAATAATATATGTATGGCATTAAGGTTAAACCTTTGAATTACATAAAGATGTTCTAGCACAATGCTGGTGTTTCCAATTATTATTTGACAGACATTCAAACTAGTGTAGTTGTCACAGTTTCTTCTTGAAATGACGCCACAATTTGAAACGTTTCTTCCTCTTCGCCATGACTTCTTGTTGCAAGTTTCCATCAGTGTAGGCGCGTGAGTTTTGTGACGTGTAACTGTCAGAATCTATAAAAGAATTGATACGGATTGATCGGACAATTTGCAACCGGTTCTCGGTTCCCATCCCTAAAATGCGAGGAGGCAAGGCAGAGTGATAATAAATGTAATTTTGCAGCTTAGATATGATATACAGATATATCTGTAACTTCACTGCGGGACTGTTTTATTCACGATGGTATAGCTGCTGTGTTTCTGTCTCTATAGCAGCAATTGTCCACCTTCATGTGTGAAATATTTTCCTTGTATATGTGGTTTAATGTTGTCTTTTCTTTGAACAGTGTCCTCTATCCGCAGCAGAATGACAGACGCTCCTGTTTCCAGTGTACCTCCATGTTTTGTAGTGGTAAGAGAGTGTCAGTGGTTACTCTGCAGTTGTTACCTTTATAAGGTTCATTGTTCTTACTAGCAAGATGCTTTTGGATGAACTGATAGAGACTGTTGGATTTTATCAGCTGGATTTAAGCCAAATTTCCCACAAGCTTTATTAAACATCTACCAGTCTACTGCCATACATTTTATTTATTGCAATACATTAAAAGTGTTGTGAGTTTAAATAACTGTGGTTGCTAGAGTTAGGTAATCAGCTTTTTATTTATTTATTTCACAGATGAAGTTTGACCAAGAGGGAAATGTGACATCATTTGGTAAGTGTTCCAAAATAAATATTATTAATCTTTGATTAGTTACGATTAGTTATCATTCAAGTCAGTTTTTTTATGTATATAGCCCAAGATCACAAGTGCTTGAGACTGATGATTGCTCTTTTATGAACAAAATGCTGTAAGAAGCCACGTTGTAATGTATGCTTTTGGTGTCCTTTTCCACATGAAGTCTAAAATATATTAAATAAGATGACGTCTATATTGCTCTCTTCCTCTGCTCCTCTTACTGGTGTGATTATTTTTCCCCTTACAGAGAAGAAGAAAACAGAGCTTTGCCAGGAGCTCAGTCTTCAAGCCAGAGACCTTCGGTTTCAGCACAGTACCAGCCTCACTGCTAGAAACAACTGCATTATCATACGAATGGAGGTATGCTCTGTTTCTCTCTTATAAGCACACTTTGTGGTTTATGACATATTTCTGTTCCCAGCCAAATCTAGATCATCTTTGACCTGGCTGTTGATTAGGTAACATTTTGAGACCATAAGTCTAAGCCAAACCGTTGATGATTCCTGGACATCAGTATGCTAATTGTGCTGCATGACACTAAAATGTCCCTCTCCTGCTGATGCAGCACTCATTACCTTGTATTATAACTATTTAATCTGCCTATTTCTTTCAATAATTAAAACAAATAAGGCTGGTCAGGTGTTAAGACCAAAAGAACATAAAAACGTAATATCTGGTGATCTAAAACTTTATGCATGAAGCTGACTAGTTAACTTTTAGTTTACTAAAAATAAAACTGGATTTATTTGCGAGGACATTCTTTAGTCCGCACCACAGTCGACCGTGCAGAAGGCAGGCTGGAGAAGGTGTAGTAGAAGACGCAAGAGTCATCGCGGCTTCTCATATTACAGAATGCAGTCGTTTGAGGCACATCCTGTTTGGTGTCCACCATCGTCACAGTGAGGTAGCCACACTCTTGGTCACACCTGATGATGCGTGAGAGGAAAACAAAGTCAGTTAATATAATGCGTCTGCTTTATTTACTAAGTTCAATACTGTATTAAATTCTTTGTGCTCTCTTAGATAATGGCAAACTGAATTATACCAATCAATAGTGTTTTATTGCTTTGAGAGATGGTGGAGAGGAAGCTGCAGTTTTTCTAAAGAAAATATGA